CTTCTAATTGTTGAGGCGTAACTGTAAAGTCGCGCAGCGTACGCTATGGTCAGAGCGGTCAAGGGTCAAAAGTTTCCAATTTAGCAAGAGGGCGCTTTTCATGTCTTATTACAGAATTTGCACGCGTAAATCGCGGAGAACGCTATCTTGTGTTTATAAGATCTTTGGGCGGAAATCGTGCCCGACGTAGGCGGCGCCCTTATTTTTAACCATGCAAGTTTTCTATACTTCATGCCCGACGTACAGGGCGCCCTTCTGTTGCTAAAGTATATCCAGACGCACACGGCGCCCTTCTTTTTCCACTAATGGAGGAAAACTTTATCACTAGAGTGCGTCCGGCCATACGATTTTGCGCTATATTGTTGTTTTCTATACTGATCCATAGGCTTAATTGTGTGTTTTATTTGGCTAGTAGCAACGATTTCAACCTCCGACAAGGAATTATGTATTCACTATTGTCACTGTGTGGGTACAGTTGTACTAATTGTACAATTGTGTACAATTTTTTAATTGAGAATTGACAATAAAATACGCGACGACTTTGTAACGAAAGTTTGGTTGAAGTTTTATAGATCCAGCCGTAAGGGGCGTCCCATTGTTTGTATTCCCACCATGCATTTCGGTGGAACAGCCAATCTGTTTTCCCGCTTGAACCCGTCAGCAGGAGTTCTAGCGCTCTCATACACCAGTTGTTCCATATTCAAACAAACAACCACCCCAATGGCAATATCTTGTCTACGGTTCTTCTTTCTTACTATGTCCGTGCCAAGCATATTTTTTATGTTTAAATAATCTATAGTAAAATCTTCCCCCCCCCCCCCCCCAAACAAAAAATACAAATTCACTAGAGAATCAAATACGTTATCACTTCCAATAATTGACACCAATCAAAAAAATTTCATTTACAGACTGTTTAAATTCTAGAATCTGTACCTGTGGAACTGGCATTATAAGGTACATCAATTTATTATAACGTATTAACTCCATTTAGTAAAATGGTCAAATTGTACCCCATTCGCGGGAGGGCGGATGTTCCATCAATTTTAATACAAATACGCGGAGCAGCTCATTCTTCTGCTATTCAAATTCTTTGGTTATACAGTAGCTCCTTAGGATGAAAGGTGACCCCCAATTTTGATTACATATTCTAAAAGCACATGTGTTGTAGATATGATATTATAGATCATTATGGCAGATCGGTCATTCTGACGTCATCATACTGCCATCTGATTTTTTTTTTAAACTGATTTAAAAAAATTTATAACGTCATAATTTCTATATTCACTTGAACGTATCTGGCTTATTGTTAATCAATCGTCTCCCACCTTTGAATATGTTATAGCTGACTCCTCCCCCACCTCCTTCTTTCTTCAGTTTTTTTCAGAACCCCAAAAAGAGGGCGGCAGACTTGATATTGTCTTGCACTGTCCTGGCTACTGTAGTTTCCCATACTTTAGTTCATACTTTTAAGCGCCTGAGTCTCCCAAATCCTACAATTTCAATTTTCTTTTATACGTTTTTGTAACATTTTGTTGGATTGGATAAATTGATTTGTGATTATGTGATATATGTTCTGTACTGTACAGAAGAATGCTGTTTAAAGATTTTTAAGGATTTTTTATTTTATTTTATTTTTTTTTTGCTTGGAAAGATTTTGAGGCAAATGTCAATTAAATTTGATAATTCCAACGATCTTCCCCTTTTTCCATATTTCCCTTCAAGTTTTTAAATATTCAAATATCCGAATCTCATTAACCACTTTTTATCTCATTAACCAAGTTTTCCATCAAAAATTTAAGGAGAAATTTAAGACGTCTGTATTTCTATTGGCAATCATGTATTTTTTTACCTAAATTGCAGGTCTTTTTTAATTGTGTTTTAAAGCTATTCTATATACTGTATATACATTTCCGAAATAAAAAATGAAAGTAAAAATTTACAGTACGGTTTTTTTTTGTCTTGTGTGGGGTAATCCCACTTTTATTCCGTAATAATGAAAATTCATGTCTATTAATTAATCCATAATTCAATTATTACAAAAAAAAAATATTAATAAAATGATTATTATAAATTATATTATAATCATAAGAGCGTGATAACGTTTCTAGGTGTTTATCGCACATTTTTTTCTGTGAGTCCGTTTTGATGTTGCAGTTGACTGGCACAAAGTTTTATGCGGTTCGCAGTAAAGAAGTTCGTAGTTAATTACTGAACTGCCCAAAAAAAAAAAAAAAAATCACATTTTAGGCGAATTTGCTTAGTGGAAGAAAGAAACGACGACGATGAGTACGAGGGCACATTAGCGCCAGTATGTAAACTATAAGGAAGGAAGAGAATACACTGTACTGTATTTATTTCAAATTAGTGTTTATTCACATTTGGGATAAAAAATGAGTTATTTGTTTAATACGACTAGGAATATCATAGGTTATATGTGTACTCTTGTTGGCCTAACCCAGTTCTACTTGCTGCCCTGCAAATTACTTGGCAGGCCTAGGGCCCAGGCCCACACCAGCGGAACTTTTTTATGTGGGGATCATACTTCCATGGGTGGATAAGTTAGGTGTTGTTTTAACCTATTTTTTTTTTTGGAAACCACCCCTATAACAAAAAGAAACAGAGTCCGTGCATGAAAAAACAGTAGGCACAATCAACTCTTTTTTTTTTTTTTTTTACTATAGGTAGCGCTTAAAATGTGTGTATATCACATAGGCCTATATATACTTACTGGGGTTTATAGATTAATTTTAACCAAATTACAAGTTTTCATTAACTTATGTTTTCATCTTTTAAATATACAACTAAAATTCCAATCAATGGATAGTGAGATAGCACAGCCTATCAATATAAGCATCTTCTGTGATCAAATATATTAGAATTTAGAAAAGCTTTTACCTTGATTTGGAAACGAAAACAATACATATAAAAGGTGAGCAAAAAATTCTGCAACCTAATTTGCCGAATGTTCTAAATAAGTTGTATTTTAAACACTAACAGAAACGGCTTTACATGGTTTAATAAACATAAGAGCATGTTTTATTATCAAGAAATAAGTGTAAGTGCTAAGTTATAGCACAGCTCCATTCAAAATGTCCACAAAACATGAGTGCACGGCCGTAGGAGTAATATTTCCCATAATGAACCTTTCCAGAATGTCAATCAAACAATTTACCAATCAATCTGGACAGGGTCGGCGATACGCCTTTATCCAACAAACACAACTTGCAATTTTGCAATTGTTTTCACACGTACTGAGTATTCAGTACACTTCCACATAAGGTAGGGCAAATCTACACCTAAACACAACACTGTCGCAAAAACATACATTTACCATGCAGTTTTCTGCGGCCTTGGCTCAATATTCAAACAGGACGTAATTAAGCAGAAAGGTTCATTTAATCCATTTATATAAATTTTAAAGCAGGAATGCTAAATCAACTAACTTCAGATAAAATACATTTATACAACATCAACAAACTAAAACACAAATTCTTATAAATAGGGTACTTAGTCATATTTACACTATGTACATACTTTTATTAGCTGACATGAAGTTAGCAAATCTAATACAATTTTGCAATATAAGTATATAATAAACATATATACATTGTTACTTTCAAGTTATTGCAACTTCGTCAATCGCATGTGTACAATATAAACATTTTTCTATAGGTGGCCTTTGTAATTACAGTACTATAATCATAGTATAGTAAAAATCAATATACAAATTAAAGTTATATGTCTTTATGCCATCATAACATGAAAATGATAAACAATAAATAATGCCAAACAATCCAAGTTAAAACTGTTCAACAAGAAAAAATGCAACCTGATTGAACAGTACTTGATTACTTTAATTGATAAAAATGTACTTCAGGGTACATATTTCCTTTAGTGTTGTGTAGATTGGTGGTTAAAACGTTTGCTTTCCAATCCAACTTCCTTGGTTGAGCACCATTAAAAAACAACTCCACAGATTTGTGTACATAAACAATTTGCCAAATATGATACACTATGCGTTGTAGCAAAGCTAGTTTCAGTATGTTTTTTTTTATGTTGAATATAAACCTCAGTGTCTGTATTTTGTAAAAAAAAAATCTTCAAGAAAAAAAATGCATGTTCATTATTATATATATAAACCAGGTCAGTTACCATCACAAAATAAAGTTAAAAAAAAAAAAAAAAAAATAGTGAGATTATCAAAATACTGTAATAAGATTATCTTAACAACTTCAATATATAGCTGATTGTAGATCGTATTGTCCACTTCGCAAATCCATTCACTTGTCAGCATAAATGTGGGCTCTACACATTACTAAATTAGATGACTAGATTGTACGGTAGCACTGCTAAAGAACTTATCAGATTTACAAAATAGTTAGGACCTCTTTGGAGTAAAAAAACTTGGGACAAAAATTTTTACTTTTTAAATTTAAATGTAGTATAGTGTTCATATACTGTATGTGACATGTCACTGATAGGTGCCCACTGATAGGATGAAGAAACACTACTAGATAATGTTTAAAGTTTTTCAGGCAGTGCATCCACAGAATTATATTTTTCTACCAACAGGCTTACTACAAAATTAAAAGACAAACATTTATCTGCACATTTATATTTTACTATCCATCCATTTAATATAGAATGTTGGCTTTATTTGTATTTTTTCTATGATTAGAGGATTAAATTCAATAAAAGCAGATAATGTAAATCATAGTTATGAATATTTCTTACATACCACAAAATCAAAGCAATTTAATTAAAAAAAATATAGACAATGGTGTTTAGTTATTATGACATGAACATAATTTACTGTTCATAATAATTGGTATTGAATTCTTCCCCTCTGCAGCTATCAACATTAAAATTTGATATTTCATGTATATAATTAACACACTTACAGAACATACAAATATATATATATACATAACAATATACACACATATACATATGTATGTACACACATATACATATATATATATACACACATAT